TATTCTATTCTATTCTATTCTATTCTATTCTATTCTATTCTATTCTACTCTACTCTACTCTACTCTACTCTAAACAAAAATTGAATTATTGTTTATTAACTAAAAAAAACTAATAATAATGACCAAATCATTCACCATGTTTAATAATGTAGCTTAGAATTGGGCAATCTATTATCCTTCAGATGTCTTAGATTATGAAGTTCAGAACAATACAGAGATTGTGAGAATTTTAGACTAAAACATATGGAAGATTTTAGGAAGCTTAATCCTGACATAAAAAACATTATGGCAAAGATTGATCTGACTTAAAATCCCAAATGAGATTTTAAAATATTTATATGAATGATTATAGATTACTTCCATCTATGCAAAGACATTTTAATATACATACAATAAATATTTTAATAGTAAAAAGATATTTCTGTGAAATCTAAAATATATTGTTTGATACACATTCTTTAACAAATGTTTAAGATTGTTTTAAAGAACTGGTTCCAGATATAGAAAACTATTAACAACCCATCAACATCATGCTGCAAAACAATTTAAAGCAAGCTTTCCATTGAAGATAGAAAGCAAAGTAAATGAAGAAAAGGGACCCAGAGGAGAAAATCGAAAAAAGCTCCCACCATAAGTTAAATTAATACTTGCCCCCAGAGGTTATGTGCATCATGTAGCAATAAATATACCATGAAGAGATGAGATTAAAGGGAAAGTTCAAAAAGTAATCAAGCCCTCAGAAGGCAGCATAGGGAGAATGCGATTTAAAACACTATGGAGCTTTTGCTTAGCTGATGTAGATTTGCAGCATTCATTTCCTTTTAGAGTGGAATGGACTTAGGGGGGAAAACCCCCCCCCCATGTCATGGAATAAGTTCCCTGAATGAAGAAATACATGAAAATATGAAAGATACCTCAAGGTGGAGCTTCAGCAAGCTTTTGTCTCCTGTGACTTATAGGAAATGACCAGAAGTAGTACATGACATGGCTCTGAACCCTGCAGATTTGGGAAGGAACTACATATTGGTTGCAGCAGGGAATAAGCTATTAGTAAGCTTTATACCAGTGGGAAAGAAAAGGGACTGTAAATGCAACAACAAAGTAAATAATTGGAGAAAGGAAGGAAGGAGACCGTTTTCTCAATGGTGGGACCCTGGCTATTAATTAACTTTTGAGAGAGGCTAATCTGGCACCTATCTTATTAATCTTATTGCAACACCAAGTTAAGACCAACCATTTCCATCTATTCCAGTTTGAAATTGTTGCTGTTTGTTTTTATGCAGCGCCCATGTGCTTTATGGTGAGATATAATTTAATGGGTGTATTTTTTCAATTCCATTCCTTTTATGAGCTGCCAGGAAAACTTGATTATGGGCAGCCTCTAACATGATAAATAAGCAGAACAATAACAGAATAGGGGAAGTGAGTAAGGGCTGCCCCGCCCCCAACAACATATTCATGTGCCGAATGCATATTTTACTCCTATCTCCTTTCCTTTGGGAGCTACTATTAAAATGAGAACCATACAAATGATAGATAGTAACTTATATTACTATTCATTTGTTTTCCATTTTATGCTCTCTGTACAGTAGGTTCGGGCAGACAAAATCGCCCTGGCTTTCTCCTCTCTGATTAGAGTAATGGCCAAAGGACCACACTAAAACACAGAGACTAAACAAACAACATAAAAAAGAATATCATAAGCACAGTAACTGAGCTTTGAAATAACCATTTAAAATATTCACAATGTTACTGACACTGTGAGAGAGAGTTGCTGTATCTGTGTATTGTAGTAAGCCAGAATTTCTGTGAAAGGGCAGGTTTCCTAGTATTTGCAACTCAGCTGCTTCTTCTTGCCTGCTAAGCAAAGTGTGACCTTACATGGTTTGTTTATTAATGACAGGGAAACTCCTACAAAGCTCAGAATTAGAAGCTATGGTTTCTGACTTCTATTCTGAGTGAGAGAGAAACACCAGGGACTTTGACAAACACACCAGAAAAGACCTCTGCTCTTGATTAAGGCACTCTTGTGGACAAGATGGTTCAACAGGCACCATCAAGGAGTGCCAGAATATTTGTGGAAGTTAAATCAGAATCCTCGGAGTTTCACATCAGACTGAGCTCTGCTATACACAATCCATCTCATACAGCAGCATCTTCAAAAGCTGCATCAATAGGGAGCCTCAAATGTACAACAGGTTCATTCCGCTATACTCCGATATGTAACACATAAGATGGAATCATTACAGCTGTCCGTATAATTTTGGACTTAGAACTGTGTGACAGTGAGCTGATGAATAGTCTCTGGTGTAGTCATTTGTTACATGTTAGTTCTAAATCATCCTACTGCTGTCTGTATTGTTGTCTTCTCCCAGCACCCCTCTAGTTATCAATGAACATCCACTTCCAATGGTCATAGCAGCAACATGTCCCTCACTGTATAAGACAGAAAACTAATGTGGTCACATAACTATGACAAAAATCAACTGCAATTCTCCAGCAAATATACCAGATTGAATCTCTTGTGAGTTTGGAATCCACCTTTCCATGTTCATCCACAAACACATCCATCTGTAAGTTGGCATTATTATCATGAGCTGAAGAATAGTTAGTGATGACCCGTCCAGGAATTCCTAGGCACCTCAAAACTGTATAAATAAAAAAGAACAAGTGTTTTAAAACAATATGACATTACAGGTTAAGCTGAAGATATATATATATATAAAATCTGTTCCAATTTCCCAACATGGTACCCTACAAGTAGTTTTGGGACAACTCAATACTTCTCAACCAGTTTCTGGAACTATAGTGCAATATTCACATTAATACTAAAGCCAGTTTGGTGCAGTGGTTAAGGCATCAGGCTAGAAAGCAGGAGATTGTAAATTCCAGTCCAAGCCAGCTGGCTGACCTTGGGCCAATTACTTTCTCTCAGCCCGAGGAAGCAGACAGTGGCAAACCACTTCTGAAAAACCTTGCCAAGAAAATGGCAAGAATTTCTCCAGGTAGACTCTGAGAATTGGATATGATTGAATGAAGGAAGGGAAAAAAAAAGAACTAGGACAGCTAGCAGAAATCATTAATTTATTATCTGATGTAGTCCACCTCACTATCTCTATAATACCATACATGTCGATATGCAAGGACTGTTGTTTGAACTGCGCTTTTCACCCAAAAATGGTGCTCAAAGCAATGTGTATTATGTCCTTATTAGCAGTGCTAGACTTGGGACTAATTTAGGTATCTAAGGCTTGGCTGGTCCCAGAGGAATCTGTACTGCATTTGAGAGTCTCTTCTTTAGTGTTCTCTTTGTTGGTTTATAAGGAAGCCAGTGGAGTAAGTCAGTTACCCAGCTTTGTACTTGTATAAAGTAATTGGCAGGAGACATAAAGTTTCAGGCAATCTTCTTTCCAGAGCTCTGCTAGCAGGAATTAGGAGCCCTCAATTATATTTCCAAAGCATCCATTTCGTTTGCATGTAATATTTTTGTTTTAATTGTCAACTGCATCTACGTCTTGAGGGGTGAAAAAGATAGCACGTTAGCCGTCCTTAACTGGCTAACAGATATGACCTATTACTAATTTAAAGGGAAACGGGATAGCTGCCACACTAAGGAGTGTGATAGAGAACCCGAAACCACACTGGGGCTCCTTAAAAAGCCTGCTAAGACCACTGAGATTTGCTTTTGACAACCCTGCAGTAATTCATCTTTTGTAGCCTATGATGGCTACAGTGAGAGTAACACTGCACATTTATTTTAACGGTTTGATGACAAATTACCTGGATACATCTACTAGCCCATGCACTTATTGATTATGCTTAATACAAATGCCTTCCAACACTTCAAGCACACAAGCCCTCAGGGCTCATTGGAAATAATTCAACTGACAAGTTCAAGATTAATAGCTTTGCTCTTTCTTTTTTGGGATGCTTTAGCATATTTAATAGATGACTGTCCCCAATTTTTCAATATGGTAACCTTGGAAAGCTAAATAATTGAACTGGGAAAATGTTAGAAGCCTTAAAGAACTGAAAACTTAAACCAGAACTAACTGATGTAGGATTGGCTATCTAACCTGATCTTCCTCAGATGCATTGTGACCACAATTTTCAGAATTCCCATTTAGTATCGATCATGGTTGATTGAGAACTTTGGAATTTGTGGACATAACACATCTGGACAGCACAAAAACAAATGGGCGTCACCTGCTTATATAAAGTTTATACTTTTCTATTTTCTACCTTCATGTTACATGCCTTCAGCTTCTATGTTTTCAACTTTCTGTCTATCTGTTCAAAGTATTTGCTTTCTCTTAGGCTGAGTGCCTAACAATGGGAAAGAGGTAAGAATCGTGGCCTTTTTATTTGGTAGGTTTACATGCTTCATTTCTTGAAGTTCCTGTTCTGTGGAAATGGAAAGATGAATATATTCTATAGCAGTCTTTCCCAGCCAATGAAAATGCTGGCTGCAAACGCGCACTGAATCCAATATATGTAAGCGGCAACAGGTAGGAAAGGATTATTTAAGACAAAGCAATTTTTCTTCCAGACGTAACAAAGTGATTTGTATCTTCTTTTCTTACTTTCTAAAACGCTTCATATAGAACCAGAGTAGGACTGTTTTAAGAAACTTAAAACTGTTTAAAATCCATATTTGAATACATGGTTGGATTGTTATCTAAAAATATTTATGCAAATCTGTTGAGGATGTCAATGGGAGTGGATGTCTCCCCACTGAATTAAATGAACTAATTCTTCATTTGACAATTGCACAATTTCAATGCAGAGGATTATTAGAGTATTATAGATTAGTTTTCATATGCAACTACAGGGGAGGGCACATTAGTTATATATATCTATATATAGATATCTGGCAACATCAATGAATATTGGCAAGAATATAATGCAATATATATATATATGCAGGCTGGAATTCTGCCAACTGAGATAAAAACAAAACGTTTTTTTTACTATATGTATCTTCCACATGAGAAAATATATATACATATACAAAAATGTACATCCCAACATCTTCACATTAGGTCTTGTATCACTTTACAAAAACAAAGACAAAGATTTCCAGATTTTACTTTCTGAATTTTAGAATCAGTAGTTTACTCCTATGTTATTCAGCGGGTAAGATTTCAATAGATTCAAATTCAAATTCAGAATAGAGCTGGTAGGTACCTTTGAGATCTTCTAATCCAACCCCCCACTCAAGCAGGAGACCCTATACTATTTCAAACAATTGGCTGTTCAATCTCTTCTTAAAAACCTCCAGAGATTAAGACCCAGAACTTCTGGGAAGCTGTTCCAAGCTGTTCCACTGGTTAATTGTTCTCACTCTTAGGAAGTTTCTCCTTAATTCCAGGTTGCTTCTCTCCTTGATTAGTTTCCATCCATTGTTTCTTGGCTTGCGTTCTGGTCCTTTGGAAAATAAGTTGACCTTCTCTTCTTTGTGGCAATCCCTCAAATACTGGAACACTGCTATCATGTCACCCTCTTGTCCTAGACTATGGATGCAAATTGCTCCTCTCCTTATAACACCCTGGTACTCCAAATTGATCCTGCTTAAAGAAACTCCAGAATATGGAATTGCTACCAAAAAAAAAAATTATGGAAATCCTTCTTTGCCTAGCACAATATGGTAGGTAGAACACCACACTTCCTTTTGGTGGGAAATGCCAAGGTATATGACCCATAGCCAAGGTAGGTAGTTACATCTTTATAATCTTTTGTGAGTACTGGAGTACTAGATTTAATTTTGAGGAAGGTAATCGGCTAATATTTTAGCTAGCTTGCTAGCTGGCCTTAATGAAGTCATTCTCTCTTAGATTTTGTTTATAATATTCAATGAGGTAAGTTTACAACTGAGTGAGGCACTGAACATGAATACCATGTTTCCTAGTAAAACAGTGATAAAATAAAAATGACTTTTGTCTACATTTTGACATGAACTTTTGCAGTTCTCATTTCCTGAACAATTATTAACTGGAATGCATTTATGTTACCAAATATGTCGTTTTCCAGATTTTAAGACACTCGTGAGAATATACTAAAGTAATAAGTAGAAGGGGAAGACAGCTACACACACAGACATTAACATGGAAAGAGGGCAGCCACTAGCTGACTTCCATCCTTCACAGGTTGAAGTCTAACGTAGGAAGTACATGTTAAAGTGAAAGAGGTTCTCTAACCCAGAGATGGGGAATGATGGCCCCTTTATGACTTGTGGACTTCAACTCCCAGAACTCCCATGAAGGCTCAGGAATTCTGGGAGTTAAAGTCCACAAGTCATAAAAGGGCCACATTTTCCCACCCCTGCTCTAACCCAAAGGTCCTCTTCTTCAGTGGCAAGTTAGTTGATGGTAAAAAAAAAATATTATCCAGGATTTACTATTTGAAGAAAATGCTATTTGGGCATTTTTTGCCAAGAACCTATTCTGTCTGCAGATTGGAGAGTGGAAAGATGATGTGATCCACGATCTGTAGAATTTCACCTCTAATATACTGTCAGTTTTGACCGTAAGCTGCATTTGCGTGGCTAGGACAGTATAAACGCACTGCCGGTGTATTGTTCATCCTGTTATTTATTGGCATGCATATTATCTATGGGTATTTGTGGGGGAGGAGAAAGTTTCCTTATCATGGTATTTTCAATATTCATGCTGACTCAAGTTTGCAGACTGAAAGGCATCTCAGAATTTAATACCCGCTATCTGTCCCAACTAGTATCTGACTTTTTTTTTTAATCAAGGTGAGGGTGATACTCTGTTCAGGTGAAGCCAACACTTTTAAAGTACAGGAACTCAGTGCAGTTTCATTATCATAAACAGATCATTCCCTGGTCAGTGTTGGATTGGCAATTAGTTCTTCCCATCAGATTATGTCTAATAGATAGAACTGAGACATTGTTTAACACCTCATCTGTTGACATTGCAAGCTTTGGAATAAGGTGCCAAGATTAAGCTGATGCCACCCACTCCCAGAAAGCAGTTGTTGGATATTGCATAATTCAATAACATGTTTAACCAGGGAGAACAAACAGAAATTAAAACCCAGACAAAGCCACATTAGTAAATCTAAATTAGACTTGGGGCTTAAAGTTCAAGGGGGTTGGATGAAGTTGGCCTTCCCCTAAAAAAACATGGCCACAGTTCAAAGACGGAAGCAACCTGGAATGAAGGAGAAATTTTCTAATAGACTGAACAATTTACCAGTGGAACAGCTTGCCGTCATAAGTAATGCATGCTTCATCACTGGAGGTTTTTAAAAAGAGACTGAACAGTCACTTGTCTGAAATGGTACATGGTCTCCCGCTTGAGTAGGGGGCTGGACTAGAAGACCTCCAAGGTCCCTTCCAGCTCTATTCTGATTGATTGATTGACTCTAAGCTCTTGCTGGAAATGCAGATGATGTCTGGGTAGCAAAGAATGTCTTTGTACCATTATGGCTAGTGTCAAGAAAAAACAGTTTTCATGGCAGCGAATTAGGTCTTCGTACATTCTATTTTGATTATTCCACATACTGTGCTTTACACCTTCATCCTTGAAATATATCCTGGATTTTAAATTGGTACAACTTAGTGGCAACTAAGCTGATAACTGCTACAAGGGCATCTGCACTGAAAGACGTTACTTATAGCCAAATGTTTGGTGGGCAAAATTTAATATCAACATCTTTTTTTTTTACCAGTAACCGTTTGGCAATTAGTGCAATTTAAAAATTCTAGTTGACTTAAGAGCTGAGTATCTGTGGGAATACCAAGATTATGAACATGTCTGGCCACCAAATCTTGCAAAAGATGCACCTGCAAAAAAAATTAAGAGCCGTGGTGACACATGGTTAGAATTCAGCACTGCAGGCTACTTCTGCCTGCCTGCTGGCTGCCTGCAATTTGGCAGTTCGAATCTCACCAGGCTCAAGGTTGACTCAGCCTTCCATCCTTCCAAAGTCGGTAAAATGAGGACCCAGATTGTTGGGGGCAATATGCTGACTCTGTAAACTGTTTAGAGAAGGCTGGAAAGCACTGTGAAGTGGTATATAAGTCTAAGTGCTATTGCTACTGCTAGCTGCATGACAAAGTTCCATTCTCTGTCCTGTGTGAGAGTTCCCTACATAATTTCTAGCTTATAAAATACACTTACTCTGTATTTAGAAAAATTGTAAAGAAATGTTTTCCTGCTGGACTTTTAATTGTTTAAGGGGCTTTTTGTAAGTCTAAAAGGGTAAGCATTTATTGATACATATTTGAGCAGAGATCAAACAATTAATAAAGCATACAATGTACTTTTGTTGAAGTAACTTAGGAAACATGGGAAAATACACTTCTTTGCCTGATATGTAGGAATGAAGACATGTACAATAGAACAAGCTATTGGGAGAGAAGAAAAGTAGAAATAAGCCAGGGTTTTTTTTGTTTTTTGTTTTGTTTAATCCAAGCTTAGTGTGCACTACAATTCCAGTAGTACAATGTATATTAAGTAAATTAATTTTTAACAGGTATAAGGAACTTGTAAAACCTACTGAATTATGACTTTCATCATCCCTCATCACTGGCATGTTTCTAAAGCTGCCAGAAGTTACAGTTCAGCAACATCTAGAAGATATCAGGTCCTCGGCTCTGTTCTGTATAAATCTTAATTGTTATATTTTAAACAGAGATTAATTGTACTCTTGGTGCTACATGCATATTAATAACATTAAATATCAAAAAGTGCTGGGGGAGGGAATCTCTTCTTTGGAAAGGATATCAGTGTATTAATAATATCATTCTTTGTTGCACATTTTGTCTCATACTCACATGTGTTGAAAACGCCAGCAAAGACCCAGCACTGCCCATATCGCACTGGCTCCTTAGTACTATAATACTCCAATAGAATGTCTACACTTCCTGTCCAGGATGATGGTGGTACTCCATATTCATAAATGTTGTCCCAGGACCCAGTAATCACACCATTATCATCTTGAGAATTGATCTGAAGAATAAATGAATAAATTGAGTCATTGCTGATGTTAATCTCCATACAGACCAAACATATATAACCTATGCCAATTGTAAGTTACTGTAAAATATTAGAGTAATATTAATGTTAGAGTAATGTTAGAATAATTATCTTAAGAAAACAAAGAAGATACAAAGATTAACATTTTGATGCAAACAGGAAAGTTAGATTACATGTTTATTTTGATGTTGGAAGTAGAGAAGGGTGTCTAATAATGGTGAGAGAGATTGAACTAACCCAACAACTAAAAATAGATGCTTGACAACCAAATCTGAAAGAAAACTTAGTCTTAAAACATTAAGTATTATGCAACTACAAAACATTCCATATTTTTCTGGAGAAATAAAGAATGGCTACTCAACAAAACATTTTGTTCAACTGATTCTCTTATTAGCTCTTAAAGGCAAATCTGCATTACACTCTTATTTGGCAGGTATTTCTGAGTTAGCTTAGTTTGTAACCTAGCAAGTGTTTGATTCCTGAGAACATGGGCAGGATCCTCAGAATTGTTAGTTCAGTCACCTGCTTATGAGATCTATTCCCCTGGTTTGTTAAGATTTCCTAGGAGATAACAAGCAGTCAGATCCACAAAATAGTAAATTCAGAGATGAAGCAGTACTGTGTCCCCTCTTTTAAAAAACTACTGCTCGATCCAATAATGGATCTGAATAATTTTTAACCAACTTCCGGCTTTTTCTTTGGGGATGAGGCCAAGGAGAAGCTGTTTGGATTAAGGTTCGAGAATCCTGGAGAAACAGATAGTTTGGAGAGTTGTTTCAGTCAAGTTGCAAGCTGGGCCATAGTATAGAGACATTGTTTATCATACATGTTGCTGAATTCTGGTGGAACTAATATGGGAGTAGTCCTGGTTCTTCTTGACCACACAATGGCTTTTGAGACAATCAGTGATCATATTTTTCTAGACTTGCTACAGAATATGGGATCAGGAGTGTTGCAATTCTTTTCCTTTCCCCATAGCCAGTTCCAGTAAGTAATGATGGCTGTCTAGAGGACAAACCTGAAACAATCTCCAAGTTGCAAGCTGTCTCAGGGTTTGACAGTCTTGCCTCTTCTGTTAACATTTACATGAAATACCTAGAGGAGGCTGTTCGTCAATGTGGGATCCAGTATAATTAGAACATTGAAAGTACTCAACTGTTTATCTTCAATTATGGTGGGGAAATAATGTCTCAGTGCTTGGAGGCTGTTGGTCTGGAAATGGGATAACAAAGTCACATTCAACTCTGACGAGTGACTGTGGGTACATACTAATGATTGTTCTGGTTGATGTTTCAAGCACATAGACCAGGGGTGTCAAACTAGTGGTGGGATTCATTTTTTTTTTACTACTGGTTCTGTGGGCATGGCTTGATGGGCGTGGCAGGAGAAAGATACTGTAAAATCTCCAGTCAAAGGTGGTATTTATCAGTTCTCCAAACTACTCAAAATTTCTGCTACCGGTTCTCCAGAACTGGTCAGAACTTGTTGAATGCCACCTCTGTGTCAAACTCAATTTCGTTGAGGGCCACATCAGGGTTGTGTTTGACCTGGGTGTGTGGGACCGCGGCTAGGATGGGTATGGCCAGCTCAATGTCGCTCATGCCGAGGACATCTGTAAAAGGGGAAACATTTCTCCTTCTGTTTTGTTTTGTTTTTAATTTGTTTTGCTAGCCCTCTGTCAGGAAAAACAGAGCTGGGGGGGGGCATGTGCAGCCCCCCCAGCTCCATTTAGAGCCACGATGGCCTCCTGCAGTCCTCTGCCAGCAAAAATAAAGCTTGGGAGGGGCCACATGCTGGCAGAGGGCTGCAGGAGGTCATCAAGACTGAAAATGGGGCCCAGGTGGGCTGTACATGGCTACCCTGAGCTCCATTTTCACTGGCAAAGGCATCATGAGTCAGTCCTGTTTCCAGAGCGGCCTTGTGGGCCAGATTCGGGCAGTGGGCCTTGAGTTTGACACCCCGGATATAAGACAGCTGTCAGCGTTTGTTCAGTGATGAGCAAACAAACACCAGGCAAGTAAAGGAGCATAAAGCTTTGGGCCTCCTGATTCCTCAGGTCTTTAAATTATCTTTAAAATCTTGGAGGTTCCCTCAGGTGGTGGCACAAGCATGCCCAATTGATGTGCATAGTTTGTCTTCGATATGGTATGTTACTCCTCATTTTTAGACTCATTTGTAGTTTAACTGGATTTTGATTGAACGATACGCAGAGTCAACGTGGCTTTGACAGCCTTATAAATTCCCCCAAAATAGTGAACATGCCAAAGCCTTCATTTAATTCTGAAAGTTGTAATTGTGTAATAGGAAATACGATATCCCACAGCATCTTTCCCCAGCCTGATGTGCTGGATTTATAATCCCCCCAATTCCCCAACTAACATGGTAAAAAAATTCTGCCGTTAGGGATTTTGAGGTTTGGAATCCCCCTATATTTGAAAAGCAATGAGTGAAAGGATAATCTATGCATGGATTGTAAAACTTTTTTTTCCCTGTCTGATATAATGCATTAGAAAGAGCACACAACAACTTCAGTGGCTCTGTTATGTTTAAGACCACAAGCCATAATTCTGCCTTCCAGGCTGTGCTGCCCACAGGGTCAAGGCATAACTGCTGGTGTAAATTCACCTGCATTTCTCTTGACAAGCTTGAATGCACAATATGCATGCACAATAGGACATAAAATTTAAACAGATGTGGAGGGGGATATTCTTACATATAATTCCTACATTATACACTGAGCTTCAGTTTCTGAGGAGCTCCATGTCATGTCAAAATGGTTCTGCAATTCATGTCCAAATCTATAATATTTCAGAAAATAAATATTTCTACAAAAAGAATATTTTAGAACAAAAAGTAGAAGAAAAGGTCATCTAACACTTATTTGTTCCAATATATTCCCCCACAATCTCCTTCATTTCAGCCCATGTTTTCCAATCTAAGGGATGAATTAATTGGAAATAACTAGGTCCATTGTGGGTTGCTCATCATGAAAACAAGCTTTTGCTTGTCTAAGTTTGCTGGTGGTGGGGCTTCATAAAGTAACAGTTTTATTGACTAATGTAAATAGATAGCTATTAGTGAGTTACGCATTTCCTCCCAGCAATTTGAACCAAATCAGTGGAGGTAATGCACAAAAAGCTTCTTTGCTTTCTATTGCTTTCTCCTTTGCTTGTAGTTATGTTAATAATGAGCTGCTACGTTCTTGTCAAATAAATCATGACTCTCACTGCAAAGCTTTGGGCTGGATTAACTAGTAGTTTCTAATTAGAAAATCGGTGGACTGTGAACCCCGCAAGTTGGACAAGATAAGTATTTGGTAGGTCTAATAGGTTTAGGTAAAGACCCTTGGCTGTCTTGAAAAATAGGCCAACCTAGGTCATGAACAAGGTGGCATTTTTATATTACAGTTGTTTGTCATATACTCTAAAACCTACAATGTTGCTACCAAATCACAAACCTGGAAGATAAGAGGGAAGCTGGATTAAACCTTTAATCACCTATACCAGGGGTGTCAAACTCCATTTTATTGAGGGCTGCATCAAGGTTGTGTTTGACCTTTGGGAACCAGGGTGGGCGTGGCCAGGATGGGCATGTCCAGCTCAACATCACTCGTGTCAGGGGCGCCTCTGGTGTCCTGAGTGCTCTGCCAGTGAAAACGGGCTCCCAATCTTCGTTTTGGGCTGGGATGGCCTCCTGCAACCCTCTGCCAGTGAAAACGGAGCTCGGGAGGGCTCTTCTTTTTGCTGGCAGAAGCACCATGGCCCGGTCCTTCCCTGTTTCTAGGAGGATCCGACGGGCCAGATCTAAGTATCTCATGGGCAGGATCCGGCCCCCCAGACCCTGAGTTTAACATCCCTGATCTATACTTTTTTTTTCATACTAAAGTACATTTCTGACATTATTTATGGACACACCCTTAAAATACTTGCAGATATTTTCATTTCATTATTGCATAACAAGAATTACTATTGTTATATATCATAGTTATTGCAGTTTTGAGAAAAGAGACAGTGCAATTTTGAAGTTGTTAGGAATGTAAGTCACCTAAAAGCTATTTGGGTTGGAAATATATAAACCAGGATAAACATTTTAATACTGTATCTTTAAGAAAATCCTAAAAGTGTAATTGGGTGTGGTTTCTCAAACGGCCATAAGATGGAGCCAAAAACCTGGATTGTCTTGTCTTAGTCTCAGAAGAGAGTGTGAGTGACTCTTTTTCCTTCTGTTGGAGAGTTTTCCCGTTCATTCTAATTGACTGATATTCATGGATTTGATGTAAGTCTGATACTGAACTGTTTTTTGACACTGGACTTTGTTATTGGATTATCCCTGGACTGAAAACTGACTGACTTACCTGTGAATGACTTTGGACTGCTTGTTTTTGAACTTTGCCTAAAACCTTTATTGAAAGTAAAAAAACCTACATTTACTGTACAGTGTATCTGTGCGCTGTGTGTGTATTATTCAAACACTTCTCTCAAATACATCTCCCTGTATGCGCTCATTCTCCTAATGGGGAATTACCTCAACAGAAGTGATTCAAGAACCACAAAATGGAGAGGCTTATGAAGCCCACAAACAATAAGATGATCCCACCTCTGTTTAATTCCAGGCTATTTTATCTGAAAATCTTGGAGGATATCCTAAAAAGAACATTGCTAATTAGTTAAATGAAATGATGGTGAACTGAGGCAACCCGGTAATTCACCAGAATAAAGATTACAAGGATGATCAGATGCAAAGAAAGGCAGATTTTTTGTGCCTTGAACAGTAGAAGAGGGAATTTGTTACGGTACCCATGAAGAAGTTCATCCTTCTCTCTTTAGGAAATACTGTCTGTCTGCTATAATTACCATAGGTGAATAAGAAATTCATCATATTTTCTTCGGTCATCCTCTATGAGACTAACAAACTAAATGCAACACTAAAATGCAATACTGTACTAAATCATGTAATGATTTTAAAAAAATTAATATTAGTTATGGGGTGACAAATTTGATGTGCTGTAAAAGTTTTTAATCACATATAAAAGCAGGATATACAGCTATTAAATAAATTACATTGTGTCCATGTTTAAATACCAATGCCATGAACTGGAACAATTCTTTAGGTTGTAGATCATGGGAACAGAAGATTTAACATTCCCCACCACCAACCCCATTCCTAAAAGGTCTGTAAGGGGCGTGCATAAGAGCAAAATCATGCCTACCGTCCCTGTCCTATTGTCCCCAATTATTAGCTCTTGGTTCTTGTATTTAAACTTATGTTTATTCTTGTTTCTGTTATATTGTAAGCTTTTGACAAATAAATAAATAAAAATAAAAAATCTCTTCCCCAAGGTGTTGTTAGTTCATCCAGCCCAGACTAATAATAGAGGAAGTCTTTGCTTCAGATCTTCCTTTCATGTTTGCACCTGACAATGATACCGACTGCAGTAGATATGGTTTGCTAAGACATGGTTAGTGTGGGATTAATTTGAACTATAAAGAAGAGATTTTAGTGTGTTTCACTGTATTTTCAAAACCAACTCATGGTTGCTGCAAAAAAATTTTTTGTAGCATTAATTGGCTTGATGCACATATGTTTTACTGGAAGATGCAGTTATTATGCTCCAATGAATGGGTCTTCTATTGTGGGGAACTAAATTGTTAACTCATGATCAGCTGCAAATATCTCATAGTCTTCCATCCACCAAGTGTAAAATAAGAAGCTTATAAAATTGTCTGAAAGATATATATTTTTTTAGAAATCTGTGGGAAAATCAAACCATTAATGGTTTAATAAATGTTTTGTATATAGAGATATGCTGCCCAAGGGCAAAACAATCTAAGTATATCTAGAATTCCTTCCTTCCACTGTGGAGATATTATATATCTAGAATTACTTCCTTCCACTGTGGAGATATTAGTCCACTATTCTTCTTTATAGAACAAACAATGGAGATATATAACTTCTGCATATGGAATACTTTTTTATGCCACATAGGTATTTTAAAGAATTTTGCCTTGAATCTTCTTATAAGGTTATAGACACCAGGAACAAACTTATATGGTCATGTGGTCATTCTAGGAAGCCGCACAAAAAAGAAGAAGCAACCTCAGCTTGGGCGCACATAACATGAACATGAGTAGCCTTTTTGATGTGAAAAAGAGGGAAAAGCCAAGAGACTTATTGTACTACTGGACTAGTGAATTGGCAATCAGATTTATTTATTTTGATAAATTGATCAAAGCAGAGATCTTCCTTGCAAGCTAAGTCACAGAACAAAATAAATTTGCCCCAATCCATATAGTCTTCCTATACAGGGGTGGGATTCAATTTTTTAACAACCAGTTCTGTGGGCATGGCTTAGGTAGTGAGTATGGCTTGGTGGTCATGTGACTGGGTGGACGTGGCTTGGTGGTCATGTTATTGGCTGGGTGTGGCCAACTCAATATCACTCACGTCAAGGCACGCATCTCCTCTCCTGGCCTCTCATGACTTTGGGGATGCTGCAACAGTCGTAAGTGTGAAAAATGGTCATAAGTCACTTTTTTCAATGCCACTGTAACTTTGAATGGTCACCCCACACAAGCAAAGTACCAGCAAAGGAGGGAAAAAAACTCCAGAGACGTTCCTGAGACAGGAAGTATAGTCCTGCCAAGAATGTAATAAGGGTTAAGGGAGAGGGAGTTTCTGTAAGCAACACCAGAACGTTTCCTTCCTGCCTTCCATTACAGGATTAGACCAGTAATTTCTTCTAACAACCAGTTGTCCAAACTGCTTAGAATGTTAACAACCGGTTCTAGAATCCCATCCCTGCTGCTATATATTTAAGTAAGAAAAAAATGTAAATAGATCCAAAATATTGCACAAAGTATATGCTTAATACATACCATAGCAGAGCCAACACGACTGATTTTTATAGGATTCCCTCGGCCAGAAAGGTCCAGTTGTGCTCTGTCCATCAAGTATAGGCAAGCATCCAAAATATTCTCTTCAAACTATATAAAAGAGAGAAATAGATCCATCACTAATTTTACATAGCAAAATAAACAGAAACGGGTTTATTTCAGCATGGTTTTAGCTCCATATTGGAAATGCAATATTTCTGTATACTTATAACTTCAGCTGAATCAGTACAGGAAAAAAAATACAGAAACTTATACAAAGTTTTTAAGAACATAGCATAGATATTTTTAACATGCTATCATGAATAAGCAAGTGACGGTAATATTTTCACCATGGCTATTGATGAATCTGTTGTAAAATTATTGCTGTAAAATTTGGATTAATTTCTGCTTGTTAGCTCAATTATTTCATTTATTTTTTTGTATCTCACCTTTATTATTTTTACAAATAACTCAAGGCAGTGAACACATCCAACATACCTTGCTCCTCTTATTTTCCTCGCAACAACAACCCTATGAGATGAGTTGGGCTGAGAGAGAGAATGGTTGGTCCAAAGTCCCCCAGCTGTCTTTCATGGCTAAGGCAGGGCTTGAATTCATGTCTTCCACTTTCTAGCCTAATGCCTTAACCAATAGATCAAACTGGTTCTCTTAACTTAAGCAGCTTAGGATATTATCTGAATCCCGAATCATTTTAAATATTTGTAGTTTAAGCAAATCAGTTTTATAAACCATGATTCGAAGTTGACTTGTTTTGGAAAACAATAATGCACCATTAAGATTTGTTGAGTTCAGATAAAACTCCATGTTTTGGCATTCTTCATGGCTAGATTGCAAAAGAAGTAGACAATCTTGAACACAATTGTGGTTCGCTCACATTACATTGAACTATGGTTTGACATAGCATCCCAAAGCATCCACTGTCTGCCTCAACTGTGTACCAAACTCTTTGCCATTTCCAATTTATTTTTCTATTGATGCTTATTCATGATATTAATATAAAGGCATGAACTTACCAAATAATATTAGTAACTTAATTCTTAAAAAATAGAAAACCAATGAATTTTTACAGTACACTGATACTTTCTAATAAATTTTGCATCATCTTCAAACAGTAACTAAGGAAAACAATTCTGGACATAGCTGACATATGTTGGAACGAGGCCAAACTTGCATATTACACATAATGGTGAAGTTTGCATTGGTAAACAAAGATAGGTTTCATATTGTACGTGGATCTCAAAAGATTGAAAACTACTTCTTTAAACCATATGTGCACATATAACTGAAACCAGAATAGATTCTTATTTTATTTTCTAGGTTTACATGCTAGAGCATGAAACTAGAGCCCAGAGCAACATTCAAATACCAATATTATTAATTTGGAACTCAAAATGGTGTATATGGTTGTCTTCTCTCACAGTCAACCTGTTGAGGTAAGAAAAAACAACTGCTCAAAGTCACTCAGAGAATGTGGTGGTTGCGCAGGGACTTGCACAAATCAGATATATTTTAACATATCCATAATTATAAATCATTTTCTTAAGAATTCTATGTTTATAGTTCTTATTCTTGACTGTGGATAATATGGCTTAAAGCAGCTGCTGTGACTGCCAGAGGTGTCAGTAGTTACCCAAAATATTAAAATGAAATGAAAATATTCCAGGTGAACTTTAGTACTAAAATATATGTGGCATATTGTAGAGGGCAGTAATACTTTCATTCTAAGAACATATTTCAATCATGTCTGATATAGTTGGAGCCCAACAAGTCTTCCAGTGTCCTGAAATTATCATCTTTGAAAATGAGCTCTGAAAAAAAAAAAAGGACTGGGACCCAATGACAACAATGTCAGGAATAAATAGGGGGCAGAAGTGCCTAAATAGAACAGAATTCATTATGGAAGAACCTGCCCTATGGTACAGTTCAATTTGCTCAGAAGAAATTGCTTAGCAACCCAAAAAATGACACTGTCTGTTGGAAGACAATCGCAGAGATGGCGGTGAAGGCACATGATTTCAATTACAAGCTGTTCTATGTAGTGATAAACAAATGAGGTAGTGATATTTCCCTTACAGGCTGCATGAATCCTAACATTTTTGAAGTTTTCCTTTAAGAATACAAATTTATTCTCTTCTTTCTTTAAAAATGCTAACTGTCTGAAAACAGCAACAATATACAATAAATCTAATCTGTAATTTGTTAGGGTATAACACAATGGCGTACTCTTTAATACACTTGCAGCCAAGTACTGTAGGAGAAGATGCATTTATAATTGGTCATTTCTTTGCCTATGTTATCTATAGGGTATTTTTTTAATTCTTCTACTTATTCTTTTGGTACAGAGCAGAATATCATTACTAAATGATGAGTTATAACCTGATAATATGAAGCTTAGTCCCAAAGGAGATTCTCCCAGAAATATCTTCAAAAAGCTGAATGTTTATCCTTAAGGCTGACTCACATATCTCAATAGTGTACTCTTGTAAATTCTGGAAAAAAAAATACTCACTGGAAATCATACTTTAAAGAGGGTGGACAGTAATACTCATATGAATGGTGTTTTCAGTATTGAACATACTGATCCATTTTAAATGTCCAAATTGCCTGCCTAGTAAAGCAAAAAACTAAAAAAATAAAACATTCCCATATAACTTTAATGATAAATTCCTTTAGCTCTGTCAGATGCATTTTTAAAATTTTATTTTCCGAGCTGTGGCTGTTCTTAAGTCTGATTGTGTAAGTTCTAGTGATCACATCAATTATGTAAGTTTAATCAATAAACATGGATGTGATGCCCAGATATTGCCAAGTGTGTTTTATAATGGATTAATCTTTCTACATTATCAGCTTAGTTGGGTCACATAAATAGAAGAGAATATAAGTGAGAGTAACCAATGATCCATCAAGATGACACCTCTATCTGGCAATGTCTTGTTTCCGGGCTGCACTGTACTTTTAAACACTTTGAAGAATTTACAGCTCTCTATTCTAATCCTAAAGTCTGCCTGTTGCTGTATATCTGTAGTGTTTATTGAAGAATAACAACTAAGATGATATTGTAGCATCATTGTCCGAGATAACGTCTGAACTGTATCTCAATCATAAAATGCTTAGCTTGTAATTAAAGCAGCTAATTTCAGAAAACATTCTTCTTTCCAGAAGCTTGAAAATATATTATTCCAGTTTCTCCTTGTTATTTTTTATCATCTACTTTTATTCATTTTTTAAAATAAACTTTACTGAATTTTTATGACATTAAAAACATAAAAATATATATCATTCAATAACAGCTGTTTGTGGTGCTTATCATATACTTTTAGTAGCAGACCGACACTTCCTTGTCTTTCTTGTTTCTAACAAGTCAAAGAAGCTCTGTTGGTTCTCTTTTTTAACCATCCATCGCAGTCTGATGTGATTGGGTTTAGTTGATTTTTTCCTTGACATTAGTTTCTCTTTTTTCATCTCCTATATTTCCCCTTTTCACTCACTGCTTATTTCCCCTGATTTTAAAGAAGCTCTTGAAAATAGGAAAAATCCATATTTTCCTCAAGTTAATTACAGGGACATGACTAATTTTTAATGTTATATTCAGTTTGGATGAAAAAGCTAAATAATCATATGGTTGTTAACACTGACGTGTTAAATCATAATTAATACTGACCTTTCTATCAGTAATAAATTTCTATTTTTTTTTATTTGCAGGATTCTAAATTATCTAAACATTAGAGTGTTAAGAATTTTTAGTCAATACTGTACAAATGGCACTGTATAAAATAATACATGCGTACATTTCACAATACTATATTGTTATATAAAAATAAATTAAAAACAAACACTTTGTAGACAATAGAGTTAGGTTTGACTAGATAAAGGTTTTACCTTTATCATTTCTTATTTTCTTGGTGTAATGGTATGCCCAGAACTAGAGCGAGATTTACATCCTAACCATCTGAATATTTTTCCTGTATCGGCCAAGGTAAAGTCTTCCTGACTAGTCCACATGGGAACCATGAAGAAGAGACCAAAAGAGTTACTACCTTAGGAATCTGGGAATTAAATTAGTTTCTCGTGGCACCAACATGTCTACCATCCTTGTCCTATTGTTTCTTTTTTATTTTTCTTATATGTATCCATTTCATGTATCCATAACTATGTTTATACTTATACCTGTTATCTTATAATTGCTTGACAAAATAAATAAATAAATAAATCCTCTTTCATCAGCCTTCAACGTCCTGGAAGAATCTTGATTTTAAGGGGGTGTAGTAGCTAAGAATTTTACAGTTGGGCTGGATCACAACACTTAGCTCCTAAACATTTCATGTAGCATTCCAATACAACGTATTACTATTCTGGACTTCCTGGAGCAATTTGCCTGCTCGATAGAAAGTAACTTCTCAAGTTGTTGTCCATCTTGTCCATGATGCTTTTCAGTTCTGGGTCTGCTTCTATTGTTTCATTGGGACCACTGACCTTTGGGTTCATTGACAAGATGACTCTTTAGTTTTCAATTCCACTTACATCAAGTTAAGAAAGAATCTGATGGAATTGAAAAGGTTCTGCATAGTACACACCCTGTCACAGTTAGTGAACGAAAGTGAGCAGTGCGGATCCCAGAGATACCTTTTCAAGAGACAACTGGACTTTCTGGTTTTTCTGTGAAGATGTTTCGCTTCTCATCCAAGAAACTTCTTCTGTCCAATTGCCTCTTGAAAAAGGATCTTTGGGACAGTCATGACCTGGATGACTGAGAATCTCCATCGACATTGAGCAGAGGGGAGCTAACAACCAGATACAAGAAACTGTGATAGAGCCATTAATCAAGGCTGAAAAAAGTCAGTAATCAGAGCTAAGATCAATGCTGAAGAATCAAGATTGATATGAGCTTTTAAAAAACATATTTAAAAGATATTCAAAATAGAACTGGAGATCACTTTCTAACCTTATCCCCAAAAACCATGGGTTTAAGTTTAAGTTTATATTTAAGTTTTCTGTTACTCCAGCCCCACTTTATTTTGCTTTCCTTTATGACTTTTAGACGTCAGATCCTATCCAACTTTTGCCTGAAGTTTTTGAAGCCAGTCTGCTAGACTCCAAAATACAAATTACATTTCATTTTCACAGCTCTTGCTATCAAATTCCAAAGTGACAGTATCCCTTTTCCCCCAGTGCTTCTGCCAACATTCACTGTCAACCAATTCTTCCCTGATGGTCAGGTTTCAGGAGGACAATAGTTCTTCTTGACCCTTCTTCCACCTTCTGAGAGATAGACTTGATAGCAAGACAAATCAAAACATTTATTGGATGTTCCGTTTTTAGTTGAGTTCGACCTCCAGCAGATGTCAAAGTAGTTGAGGGGGGAAATTTACTGCTGTAAGCTTGCTTGTATAAATGTTTCATCATTTGTTCCAGGATAACGCTTTCTAGTCAGCCCCTGCGATATCATTCTTATTTCTTCCTATTTCTTGTAGTCTTACTCAGAACCTTCAACAGGGATCTCATCCTTAGAATTGTGGATTTGTCTGCACATTTATACACTATTTTACATTGAATTCTAATTAAATGCTTTATTTCTGTTTGGACTATTTTTAAAAAATATATTTAAAAATATGCATTGTTGGATAACTAATTAATAATTAGATAACTAATTAATAAATAATTCCATTATTTTGTCATTAAGATAATGTTAAATTGGTCCAATGGAGGTCTAAAAGCTAGATATTTTGCATTATCAGTATCTAATAAGACTTGTGGAAAAGATATACCTCAAGAGATCTAGATTCTAGATTGTTGGATTCTAGAAAGAGAGAAGAAGAAATAAATAAGATACTAGTTCTATTTTGTGGATTTTATGAACTTTGCAAGCAGTGATTCACTGCAGCAATTGACAGATTTGATCTCTCTTTCCCTATTTGAAATGTCCTTGATATGGAGATGATTTAGAATCCGCCTTATGCTAGATGCTGCTAAATGTGACCAAGCAGCCTATTGTCATGCTGATGAAATAAATGTTATCTTTCATTAATGAAAATATAGGAATCCACATTTGTTATCTTGGGTGACGGGATGGATCAAAGGGGGTATTGTGCCAAAGCGGGACATCTTGTTGGAATGAATCAACAGATGAATGAATGAACGTATGCATTTTTGTGTGTGGGGATCAATCAGCAAATTACAGTTGGCTGTAATCAGGACAGATGTTATTTGGGCCAGTTCCAAAAAGCTGACTGAATATGAAATAGCAGAATAATGGGTACTGTGTCTAGAGGAGAAATCCTTTTCTGAACCTTTTCACTTCAGCTTTAGCCATTTTGCTGATAATTAGCATCCAGAAACTTGGCAGAGAGTCTTTCTTCTCAGTACTTTCTGACCTTACCATGGCTTTTGTGTAACAAATAATTTAATCCTGTTAGCCTGTTTGAACAGCTTGCAGGGGTTAGATCTGTCTTCTGAGTGATTCCATTTTCTAACCAGAATGAAGTGAATGGGTCATCATCACTGGTAATTCTAGCTTGGCCCTCTGGCAGTTGATGGATAGTATTCCACAAGGCCTTTATCACAGAGACTGCTATCATCTATAATCTATAGGAAGCTGCTGACAGAAATCATCGAGAGCTTCACTGAGGGGCATCATAAATAAGCCAATGCTGTACCCCCTCAAGTTACATACTTCATTAGCTAAGCGTCAAAAACCAATTGTCTTATTTCTAAACCAGTGTATTGAGGCTGTGGTTAAATGAATGAGCTGAAATATAATCTAAACAAGGTGGAAATAAAGCTGATAAGAAAACCTAGCACTATACAGAGCAGGTTGTTCTGCCTGTGACAGATGAGTCAATAAACCTTATGTCTACTCCAAGAATTGAGAGATACTACTGGAACCTACTTCATGCTTAGGAAAACAGTTATACTACACAGCCTATATGAAAGCTGTTCTTCTTTCCCAGAGGCAAGAAATCTTTCTATGTTTTGACCCTGTAATCCAGAACCTTGAGAAGGATCACACTATGCTTTACACAGGAATTGAATTGAAGATGATGCAGGTGTCAGCTAATATGGAAGGCTGAAGGCTGATGGCTTACACATTTGAACAGTTCTGCCCTGCATTTCCTGGAAATTCTGGAATGGGATCCAGTTTCCATGGATATGGGTTAGGGATGGATAGGGTATTCAATAAAGGAAGTTTATGTGCCAGAAATGGATTATTTCTCTGATACTGAACTTCTTGCAATTAAGATAATAAAGGAGATAGGAGTCACAATGATGAAGTTCTGCCTAGAGACCAAATTATTATCAGCTTATCCTATATAAAAAAGGATTGGGCTCCACAACTACTGCCTGAATCTGCTAGTCCAACTGCTCCTATAGATGTGCTCTAACCTAGTTACCTTCCAAAGAGCTTTTCTTCTTTCACTGATGATAGTTGCCCAGTAATCTTAAATTAGGTTATGGAAACCTAGTCTGAACAATTTGGGGTCCATTGAATGTTTAATTCAATTAGAAAATCATGCCAAATTGCTTCTTCAAAAGACCTGGAAGCTGATGAATACCTGTTAAAATTACCATAGGTGTTTATGTACGTATTAGATACATAAAATAATTCAAGACAGTGTGTACAACACTTTCTCTTCCTTTCTTTCTCCACAAGAACAACTCTGTGAGATAGGTTGGGCTGAGAATAAATGACTCAAATGGTTTCTCTGGTTGAACATGAACTAGAACCTAAGTATTCCTACTTGCCGTCCAGCATCTTCACTACTACTCTACACTGGATGTCTGAGTTTGAGTTGTTGACCATGGTTGCTTTTAATGAGAAACAGGTAAGATATGTTCCACCGCTATTTATATTTTGTTGAGTTTTTTTTGAAAAAAAAACGTTTTTAAAAAACCTGCTTTTCAAACTCATGGTGTCACAGTGGCATCATGTGACATATCAGGACTTCCCCCCTTCACTAAACTGGGCGGGGCCGGGGCCAGCACATGATGTATCCTGTCCATGGGCTGTGAGTTTGACACCCCTGATATATAAATTTTCTCCATTTATATTTGTCAATTTATATTTGCCTCACAGATAAATCAGAATAAAAATCTGTAATAAAATCGATATAAGAAGCGGGTGGTTGTTTTTACAAATAATGTGGTGTAATGGTTATGGTTAAGACTTAAAAACCAAGCAAAAAACATGTTTTAGTCCACTCTTAGTTGGATCATTCTCAGCTCACTCAATCAGTTCAACCTACCTCACAATGTTGTTGCTGTAGGGAGGAGGAAATGTTGTGCATGCCATTTTTAGTTGTTGGAATAAAAGGTGAGATATAAATCTAATATAAACACACATATGCACATCATCCATCTGGACTGAAATGTTCTAGACTAAGATACAGGCTCAGTCCTTTCAAACTTTTATTCCTTTGATTAATTCTGTTATGTATCACAGGCAATCAGCCATATACCCTTATTCATTTTCCTAGGTGTATTTTACTAAGCGGGAGTGAATCAGGTTTCAACAGGATCAATCTATTTGCTAGTGCAGAATTTAGGGGTGCAGCATTTGGTAGAAAAGCTATTCTTCATTTATTTCAAATGGATTTACCTGACCATAGTTCCAGCTCCTTGATCGTATATTTTCAGGGTCCCCATAGAAAATAACCCCAAGGTCATTCAGGACATACTCTTGCCTTTCTTCTTCTTCATCCATAAACACTGCATCCTCTGCATCAGATTTTTTATTATAAAAACAGGTTAATACATGTACTTTGCTAAGAGTAAATATTGGAATTTAGTACAGCTGAATGACATAAGAAAAGGCAGCCTTTTGTTCATCTATCATAACACATAATATATTTTCTCCTCACACAATTCTCTGCAGTTGGAAATGAAGCATGCTCCAAATTAAAAAGAAAAAAAGTAAAAAGAAAAGAAGGATCACAACTCTCAACTATTTTGAGCAAGATCTGTAAAGCATGATTAAATTGTCACCTCTTATCAGGCACTTTATGATTCTGGGTTATTAAGCTGAAATGTCTGAGAGTTGTGAGAGCATTAAGCTCCCACACGGCAGATCAAAGAATTACTTTGAAACTTCGTAATTGTAATTGTGAGCAGTTCTACACAAAAAGATTGAAAGGATTAACCTCTTTAGGAAGAGTGGCACAGCATAACACGCATGAACACGGTCCCTTTTCATATAGAAGGTAGACTAACCACTTAGTTCACGTGATGATCGAGACACAAGGAGGAACATTTTATGATAGACAGCTCTTTCTGGTTTAGGCTAGAGATGCTGGAGGACCGCACCAGACCTACATATTTAATGAATTAACCCAATTCACATTACCTAAATTATATTTTTGGATTTTGGATTATCTTAGCTCCCAAAAAGTATTCTATGTAAACTATGAATATTAAGGAAAGTCACTAGTCCTAAAGGACTCTACATTAAGTAAATGATTGCTAGAACCTGCCTGATCAGCAGATCCAAAGTTCCCGGCTTTGTCATTTCGGAATATCATGAGCTAAACACCTCTTTATATGTCTACAAGTGGAGCCTGACTGATATTTTGCCATAATTCCATCAGGTTTTCCTAAAGAACGGCATATGTCTTTCTGAGAACATTAAAAAAAAATTGGCCTGAATGCATCCCAAACTCAGGCATCTTAAGTTTCATTTTTTGGAAGAAATGATGATACACAGATTGTCTCCACATATCACTTGTTGTTTTTTTAAATGATGGGTGCTTAAATATGTAAAGCAAGGCAGTCTTTCAAGGAATGGCAGAATACATGTATAAATAAAAATATACTGGGATTGCATTACACGGTGAATGGAAATTCTAGCACAGTCCTGAGGAAACTGTCACATGTTACAGGTACATCACGGTGGTGGAGGAAAATATTAAACCTCCCCTCCCTCCACATTTCTCCCTCTATCCTTTTCTTTCTTTTTAATTGAAAGCTTTAGATGTGATGCATTTGGAATCATAATCTGTTTGCTCCTGTCAAAGGAATAATTCAACATGGCCATTCTGTCTCTGCCATTCTCTTTCTCTCTCATTAATTGTATTATATTTATCTGACAGGAAGATTAGAGTTTCCTCAATAAACATCCATTTCAATATGATGAATGGAGGCAGCCCTAGGGTGGGGAAAATGTCTTAAATTCAGATTTTATCCGCCTTTTAGATAATATTCTACTTATATTTCTATATCCATCTATTTAGATGCAAATTTATTTAACCTGGCATCCTCTAATAATTAGACTTCACCTTCCCTGAAACTCTAATGTTAAGTGGCAGGGGACTGGAGAATAGTTGTCTAATTGTAGTCATTAGTGTGCCTACCTGTAAACTTCTGGTAACACAAGTCGGATGGTGAACTTATATAAAGAAACTGTAGAATGAGACAAACTATCTGGACTTCTCAATTGCATCCCTTTAGAAAGTCAGATTAAGGTTCTTTTTGAATAAATTATAATAATACAGTTGCACTTAAGATGTGGCTGTTATTGTCATGATCATATACACACTGCTTGTGCCTTACCTTTACACCAGGGATTGAACAATATGTAAGTATCGGTGTCTGGGTTTCGTCTTGTTCTGAGAATGCCCATTGGAGTCAGCACTGCAACATACATGCGGAATTTTCCCACAATGCAGTCTGCAGCTGACATAATATTCAGGGCCACAGAAGTGTTGGCCTTGTGGGTGATCTTAGCACCCCATTTCCCACTTTCCAGCTCTTGAACCAAAGGAACGCGGATGTAAGTGCCTTTGTTTTGTTGTGGGTATCGCCCTGCAGGAAGAGGAAAGAGAGTTCATTAACTTTGTGAATGAGAGTAGCAAATGAAATGCTTCCTTTCATTTTGACTGCCTACCGTGTTTCTCCAACAATATGTCCTCCACCAATAGGAAGGCCCAGCATGATTTCTAGGCATGAGGTGAAATTAAGCCCCACCCCCCAAATTTAGGCCTATTCAAACCGTGCTTTTCCCCACCATTTCTCACATCATTCATTAGAACTACACAAGGTGAAGAGAAATGGGCGGGGGAAGGGCGGGGGGGGATGGGGAGAAAACTTCCCTTTAGGAGTGCCCTGCAGGTAGCCCAGGCTACAATACCCCAATAGCCGATAGAAGCTCCCTGAAGGCAGAGTCCCCAGCCGCTTCAGGGGGTGGCGTAGCGTGGGACTCTGCCTTCGGGGAGCTTTCATCGGCCGATAGAAGCGTCCTTGTGGCGAGGTTCGTGTGTATGGGCCACTCTAGGTGGGGGAGGAAATTCCCCGAAAAGCCTAGCCACTTTTTCAGGGGTCAAAAAAAAATAAGGCCCGGCCTTATTTTGTGAGAAACATGGTAGCAAAATGTGGACTCACATTTACTCAGTGTTACATCCATTGCATTACAGCAAAAATAAGTAAGGTATCAACAAGTATAATTCAGCTCTCTTTCATTAAAGTTTCTGTCTTTAACACTTTTTATGTTACAAAATCAAATCTACCAAGCCAAGATTTTACATCATTTCCACACAATATATTTCTCCATGTTGGTGCATTCCACATGTTCAAGGATGTCAATTCCCAGAATTCTAAACCAGTATCTGCTAAGAATTTTTATGACCTTCCCCCCAACATATTTGAAGGACCCAAGTTGGTCTAGGCTACACTGAATAAAGACACTGAGTTTGATTGGTCATATGGATAACATTTTTATTTTGACAGAACACCAATAAAAGAACCCAGGAAATATAATTACAAAAATGCAGTCTATATTTTAATGGCCTAACTAGGAATAAGGTGTAATCAGATGTACCAAAAGCAACAACCAAAAAGAGAGGGTAGACAGAGTTAAGAATGGAATCAAACATGACCTTGAAAATCGTGAAAGTAAGTTGCCAAACAGGTTTAAATCAAACCAATTAAGATGGAGTCTTTTTGAAGCTTTTTCTTCTCAGGGTTCCCACATCTTGGCTGACCCACCTGTTATACCAGTTAACCCTTCTGCTGCCTCCTACAGTCTCTCACACTTGGGGAGACTGTGGTGTGGGGTCTATTAAACTTCTCTTTTAAGATTTGCTTATTTTGTGAGAAACGTGGTAGCAAAATGTGGACTCATATTTACTCAGTGTTACATCCATTGCATTACAGCAAAAATAAGTAAGGTAATTACCATCACCTTGTAAGCAATAACCATTGACTTGGTAATTCCTAGAATAGGCGTGCTGTCCAGAAGCACCTGTAATCGTAAGTCCTGATATGCTCTCACAAGAGAGTCTTCTGCCTTTTCTCCCACTGCTCCTTGGAATGGCCTTCTGTGCAGTGGTGGGATTCAAAAAATTTTTTTACTACCGGTTCTGTGGGCGTTGCTTGGTGGGCGTTGCTTGGTAGGCGTAGCAGGGGAAGGATACTGTAAAATCTCCATTCCTACCCCACTCCAGGGGAAGGATACTCCAAAATCCCATTCACTCCCCACTCCTGGGGGAAGGTTACTACATCCTCTCCCCACCCCACTAACCTGCTTTCCAGCTCCGTTCTCCTGTGCAGGGCAACAAAAGAAGACCCAGCCGATCAGCTGGGACTTGGGAGGCAGAGAATAGATGGGGGTGGGGCCAGTCTGAGGTGGTATTTGCCAGTTCTCCAAACTACTCAAAATTTCTGCTATTGGTTCTCTGAACTACTCAAAATTTCAGCTACGGGGTTCTCCAGAACTGGTCAGAACCTGCTGAATACCACCTCTGCTTCCGTGATGTTGGAGATGCCACCTTTTTCATTTCCTTCTACTAATAATTCCTCAAAACCCACTTTTTTCAGAGCCTCACTCAGAGCAATACATTTTTCTCTAGAAACTCAGATTCACACTCAAGAGCTGATAATGAAGAGTCAAGGATAGGACTCTGGTAGCCTGTTTTTACTGATGTTACAGATATTATTAGCCCTAATTATAAACACCTATTGTAGAATCATGCAACCAATTCTGTTATTTATAACAGGCACAGAATCTAGTTTTATTTATATTTCTGGTATCCATGTTGTAACCTTTTTTCAGAGAAGGAGGTGGAAAGAAAGATGAATAATACACTTCACACACTGCATTGAGCTACACGTTTCGGCCTTAAATGGTTATGTAAAACTATGACTTATGGTTGAATGAGTTGTGTGTAGCCAGATGATAGCTTATTCAGCATTTAAAATAAATCATGGAT